CTGGACAGCCCTGTTTAATAGGAAGGTAAAGATATTTCAGGAAAACGGACTGCCACAGAAAGATTCCAAGAGGAAGAGAGAGGGAAAGAGAGAGGCAGAGAAAGAGAGAGAGAGGGAGAGAGAGGGAGAGAGAGGGAGAGAGAGAGAGACAGGGAGAGAGAGAGGGAGAGGGAGGGAGAGTGAGAGGGAGAGAGAGGGAGAGTGAGAGGGAGAGAGAGGGAAAGAGAGAGGCAGAGACAGAGAGAGAGAGAGGGAGAGAGTGGGAGAGAGAGAGAGAGAGAGAGAGAGAGGGAGAGGGAGGGAGAGAGAGAGGGAGAGAGAGGGAGAGAAAGTCAGAAAGAGAGAGGCCGAGAGGGAAAGAGAGAGTGGGAAAGGGAGTGAGAAAGAGAGAAAGAGAGGGAGAGGGAAGAGAGAGGGAGAAAGAGGGACAGACAGAGAGTCAGAGAGAGGGAGAGAGAGAGGATGGCGGTACTTTGGAAGAAGTGATGGGCTGTGATTGGGAAGGTCAACATTCCTTCCTGTCTCCTGCAGAGAAAACCACATTCCAGGCACAGAGAAACAGAGAAACGACCCAAATGCTGTCACTGCTCGCAGTGTTTTCACTACGTATCCCAGCATCTACGTATCTGGAAGTGACCCTCCAAAGTGAAGAATCAAAGCACAGCCTTTGTCATAAAGACATTCACACTTCTATACTATGTAAACTTGAGAGTAATGAACAAAACTGGCAAAGGAGATGTACTCATCACAGCTACACAGTACATGCACATATATGCAAGCATACACACGTACTCCCACACACATATGGACATATACATGCACACACACACGCACACAAACGCAAACGCATGTACACACCAAACAGGGGAAAGTTTCTCTCTCCTGCTGGAAGAGGCAGAGAGTTCCCTTCATAAACCCGATGCTGCTGTTGCCTAGTAACTCACACTGGAGGAGATTAAAAGATAACTTCAGTAAGCCGGGAGCTTCAGAGACTCCCCCTACACAGAGTGAAAACAAACAAATAAAACCCAAAACAGAGGGAAGAGAGAAGAGGGGATAGAGGAGAGGATGACTTCCTCCGGAGCTCTCCCGATGTTGAGAGGGGAGAGATCGCTACGGTGGACCGGGGTCTCCGGGCCAGATCGGTCTGTGTGGGGGGTGGCGGTCATGGTCAGGACTGGAAACTGAATGAAGACAGAATTCCTAATCTCGCCAATGGAAGTGACCGCGATCAGTTTGCGGTCACTCTGTTAGCAAACCCCCCCCGATCCAGGTCAGCTGGAGTCACGACACCCCCTCTGAAAGAAATGATAGTCACAGAGCAGAGAGTGAAAAAGAGGAGATACCTTATCCATTGGTCTGGCCTTGCTGGCTGGGTGGTCATGGCTGGGTCCAGTGCCTCTCTTTCTGCTCTCTCTATCCTTCACTCTCCATCTCTCTTCTCCCCCCTCGGGGTGCTGGCGGAGAGGCCGAGCGGCGGGGGTGTGGGGTGCGGGGGGCGCAAATTTGACAGAGGTCGGGAAATGGCAAGAGGATGGTAGCTGGTTGGAACAAGGGATGATTTCTTTCTTTTCCTCTTTGCCCTCCCCTCGCCACCCCCCCTCAAATTCCGAAAGCCCCCCAACTTAGTTGAAAGTCCCTTTTTGGCAAGCGTTTGAAAAATAAAGTGTCCTGTACGGGCTGTCCGTCGCTGAGAGGAGCATTCAGCCGCATAGTCAGAAAATACAGCCGAGACAGAGGAGAGATGAGAGCACTCCATTCCACATCCCAGAGGCTGAGAAGGAACTTGTAGGATTGACGTGGCAGAGTTCTGTTAACTAACTTTCCTCAGTGAGAGGGAAAGAGAGAGGGAGAGGGAGAGAGAGAGAGGGAGAGAGGCAAGAGAGAGAGAAGAGGTGGGGCTTTTTTCTTTTTTTTTTTTTTTTCGTCTGGGTTTCTGTTTTTTTTCCCCCCCTCATACTTTTGGGGGGGGCAGCAGGAAGTGGAAGGTCAGAGGTCAACAGGAAGTGAAACACATTAATTTCCCTGAGCCCTGTCTTTGTGTGTGTTTGTGCGTGTGTGTGTGTGTGTATGCGTGTGTGTGAGTGCCTGTGCTTGTGTGTGAGAGAGAGAGAGAGAGAGAGAGAGAGATGGGGGTGGAGGAGAGGAGAAGGGAGAGTGTAGTGGGTTGGCTAACTGGTGAGTGTTTATAGTCTTGGGGAGTGTGTGTGTGCGCGCGCGTGTGTGTGTCGGTGTGTGTGCGTGCGCACATGTGGGAGTCGGGATGGGGGGGTGGGGTGGTGGGGGTGCCGACTTTAGAAGCTCCATGACTTTGTAGGCAGTGGTGGAATGTCGGAGTGTCTTGGCATGGAGGCAGCGTTGTAATAACTCCAGATGTGTGGCTCTCTAGCCTCCTCACTCTCGCTGGCCTGTTTTTTCTTCTAAAGCTGATTTCCTCTCCCTGTCCGCATAAAGAGTCCTTTATCCCAGCTGAGGCGCCCCCCCCCTCACTGAGTCGTAGAGGGGTGAATCTGGGGGTGGTGGGGCTGGGGGTGGGGTGGGGGGGCAGAGCTACAAAATCAAGACCAGGATGAGTGGTGGGGGGTGGTGGGAGAGGAGGAGTAGGAGGTGGTGTTTTGGGGTAGAAGGTTGGTGAAGTGTGGGTTCGATGAAGTACCCAGCATGTCCAGCTACGGCCATCTGGTTGTTGACAGTGCAGAATCAAGGGAAGTACATGGCCGCTCTTACCCATAATCCTCTGCTTCCCCTCAGCTCTGTTTCCCCAGCCTTCTCCTTTGTGCATGCGGTGTTTTTTTTTTTGCCCGGCCCAAAGCGTCGCCCTGGGTGAGGCGTTACCCCGCAGGAGAGCGCCGGGGGCGGGGCCCAAAAAGCCAGCGGCAAGCTCCCGTTTGGATGGTCCCGGTCCAAACCGGGGGCGGTTACCATGTTTGTTTTAGCTACGGTTTCTGCTCCTCGTCCTGAGCAGGGAGAGAAAGTGGGTCGGCTGGGCCCTCCTGGGAGCTGGGTCAGCGGTTCTGGAGGTACGCAGCCAGACGGAGAGTGGGGGGGGGGGCCTTCTGAGGGGGGGGGGGCAGAAGGAATGGGGGATGGGGGGCAGGCAATGATGTTTTTTCTGCTGTTAAACTTCAGACAGCCCGCCTTCCAGCTCGCCCAAGGCCTGGCTTGAGTCACCCAACACTCTGGAAACCAGCAGCGACAGGCTGCACATTTTGTTTGAGAAATTGAACCCATTTTCTTTTTTATCTCACATGTGGAATATGTTTTATTCCCCCGTTTTCTCTGCCCTGGACTGGTAGCGTACAGCAAGCTTGCTGAGGAGGTGTCTATCCGGGAGGCGCGAAGAAATGTCCGGGGACATTTCGGGAAATAACGTCCCGTAAAACGAGGAGGGGAGCCTCACTGCGAACCTCATTCATTCGAGGTGGAAAACGCTCCGCCCGTCAACTCTGAAACCCCATCTGCGGAGAGCAGAAAACTGCAAATATTCAGATTCAGATTTCAATTTTTTTTTTTTAATCTTAGATAATGGCAAGGAGCAGCGGAATTACACCCTGTCTCCCCCCACCCCCCACCCCTCCGTTTGTTTTACGAGCGGGAGTGGAATGTCTGTTCTCTGTGGGCTGGAGGGGCGCACGTGTGGAGGGTTCGGATCGAGCTGCGGCCGCACGGCGGGTGGGGGCACCCCTTCTCAGTGAAGCCCTCAGCCCTCACACCAGCTCATACTCACCAGGGCCAATCCCACGATGCATTGCGTGTGGTGGGTTGTCATACATGAAGGGTAATAATACATTTTTTATAATAATACCATTTTTTTTACTTGGAAGATGCTCCCAGTTTCAATCTCCATGGACATGATGTTGCGGTTGCCTAGTGGCCCTTGGGGGGGTTTCGACCCATAGTTTCCATCAAAACTGCTAAATCAAAAAAACCCAAAAAAGCAAGATTAAATTGGCACTGCATTGCGATACATTCAATCAAAACTGCCAAGTCATCTCGAGGGAACAGTGGACCAATTAGCAGTGATGCCTTTTATGGTGTTGGGTCAATCTGGTGTGCTATTGTTGTGCGTGTTGAATGGTGAACAGAACATGACATGGCTGTTCTTGAGAATAAGAGTAAAGGGGGATTTCCAGTAACCTGCTATGCCCCCCGCCCCACCCAGTCCCTTTGCAAAACTAAATACGAACAAACAAACAGAACCCACAGAATGAGAAAAAGAACAGATGGCGGGTGAATGCCTCCTTGTTTGGGGAGGTCAGAGGTCATGTCAGGCTGTTTTACCAGTCAAGGCCTGAGAGGTCTGGGGTTGTGATTCAGACAGCATGAAAGGTAATCACGGTTCATTCCATCTCCTGTTTGTGTTGAATGCAGGCAGCGTTCAGTAAAACACTGCACCATTACAAAGACAAAGGGCTCCCTAGCGTCCTGACCAAACTCTGTCAGTCTGGACAGCTAAGGATCCCCCAGTTCAATTGGTGAATTATCTCCGCCTCTCCATCACCTGATGTATGTTAAGTCTTCTGCTGCAAAATGGCTGTTTAGGGCCACAGGTTAAGGTGAGACCAGCTCTTGAGATCCCCTGAAAGGTGCTATATAAGTGCAGGCTTTTTATTCCTCAGTGCGTTGAAATCCTACAGGAAAAGGTGGCGTGGATGGGGTGGTCGCCCCAACAGCAGATCAGAGCGAAGGAAACCTTGGCATGTCGGAAAAGGGGGGGAGGGGTTGTGTGTGTGGGGGGGTACATCTGGATAATTCAATATCCTGGCCCGAGCTGATGAGATAAACGACTGGTGTCTGTTTTTTTCGTTTGAACGAGGCCGCCCGCTCGCCCCCCATGACAGCACGGTTTTGTGTCCTTGTCAGTGTTTTCCTGTTTAGATACTGAGCCCTGCCAGGCGTGCTTCTCCGCCTGCTTGCACAGCCGCATCTGTGCCTCCTTCCAGGCCTGTGGCGGCCATTTTGGGAAAATGTCCAAAGTAAGGTTCAGTTTCAATTGTGGTGGCAGTGTAGCATAGTGGTTAATGCGCAGGACTTGTAACTAAAAGGTTGCTGGTTCAGTCCCCACTGGGGCACTGCTGCTGTACCCTTGGGCAAGGTACTTAATCCAAAACTCCCTCAGTAGATATCCAGCTGTATGAATGGTTTACATTGTGAAAAACTGTAACCTGTGTAAGTCACTCTGGATAAGATCTTCTGCTAAATGCCCTTAATATAATAATGATTGTGACCGAAGTGAGTTTTTTGGGGTTGCTCTCCACTCAATAAAAATGTTTGATGGGCCCATGCTTAACAAATCGTTTGAAACACGAAGCGGACAGGACCAAGCCATACACCTCATTCGGTCTTCTGTTTAACGCAGGCGTGTAACTGAGTGAAAGTTTCTTCCAACATTCAAAAGTTTATGTAAACAGAGCCACAGACAAACCAAATATAAACTTTGGCATTTCTGGCTTAAAGTGATTTGTTGGAAAGCACAATGGACGATGAACTCTCTGATAGAAAAAAAAAAAACTAAAATGATGAGTCACTGTTGTATCACCCTGAGGTCACATGACATCATTCCAAAATGGCTGCACAAGACAAAGGAAAAGGGCTAGATTGGACAAGATGATGCGCAGATGGAGTGATCTTTAAATCATCTTATTCACTGAGCTCATGATATTAGCCCATCCACATGCCGTAAAGACCAGTAAACCTGGGCAGCATCTGTGGAGCGCTGAACCAGAAAAACAAAGGCAACGGCTCACACGTGCAGCTCATCTACGCCAGGTGTGAGCGGGGCTGCTGGGACATCATTCTCTGAAACACCTGGGATGGCTTAGGAGCCAAATCTATGTATGTGACACCATGGAGAACCAAAGTTCTTTCCCTCAGGTCTCCAGCTCTGTTCAGTTCAGGGTGTTTATTCATAAAACCAGCTTCATTTGCATATTTGTCTCTGTGAAACAGACCGTCTAAGTGAAGAAACTAGGCTCCAGAAACATATGGTTTCAAGTTTCCAGCTTTGCGTGTTCGTGTAAGCCAATAATAAGCCAGAATGCCCTTGATCCAGTGTCACGACTAAAGGGGTGAAAAACGAGAATTAAAACACTCACGTAAAAATCATTTGTGTCTGAATCTGTAGTGGGAGGGTTTTTTTTTCTATAAACGAGGAGTTGGTTACTATCGGCAATCAGGGCCCTTTGAAGCTACAAAGTGCTAGAGAGTTCTCCCATCCTCCTCAAAGCTGCTCCGCACCGCCCTTCAACCTGTTAACAAAACCTTGCCTGCTCATTAAACACGGCGTCAAACAGTGTGGGAATGTTCACAGGCATTTACGTGCTGAGCAGGGGACCTTATTGCAGTTTCTGCCTCCTTACACCCCCTCCTTACCCAACCTCCTACCCCCCGGTGTCTGCACCCCTGGGTAATTTGGAAGTATGCTGAGTGTAGCTGTTGCCCCCCCCATTCCCCCACGTCAACGCCACCCACGGCCTGTAAGCGCTCAGAATCCCTCTCTGACGTTTTGTAATCATCTCTCGGCAGAACCAAACACCTTGAGGCAAGACGGATACATAACACACAACAAACAGAAACAGGCTGTTGGCCTGCATCGGCCAAGGCGGTTGAGTCACTCTTAAGAAATGCCCCGCCAGGCCCAGAAGTTAACGGTAAATTACTGGCTCTCCTCAAAACTGCAGACTAAGTACAATGACGGGAGTGACTAACTCCAAAAGTAACCGGCTATGGGGCACCGCCAGGCTGTGGTAATATTATATCTCTTCATGTTTTATTTGTCTATCTATATTTATTTATTTATTGCCGCCCACAAGGGTTTGGCGCTTGGCTAGCTAGCTATTGCCCATGTTTGCTGTCTCGAGTACTGACTAATTCATTCAGACAACGGTGTGACGCAATTCAATCACTCTGGCGGTTTTTTTTTTTTTTCTCCCAGCAACACCCTGGAAAATTTGTGCAATACCATAGTTTTTCAGGACTTGAAGAGATGACGGGAAGGAGCTAGGTTGTGTATCTCCTCACCAGCCTTAGAAATTTCTCTTTGATTCAGGGTATACATAGACACTTTGTGGGCTGGTTGCTGCTCTGTGAAATGTCTGACATGTATGGAGTTGATATGTATGCGTGCGTATACACATTCTGCCTCATGTTTGGGGCAGAGTCCTGGCAGTTCCTGGCCTAAATGCCCTCTCTCTCCCTGGAGGAGCAGGAGGAGCAGAAGAGGCTCTAACTGTCGGGCTGTGGGGTTCTGCTGGCGGAAGGGAAGGGAAGCGAGAGGAATAAAAGTTTCTTTTTAAGAAAATGGAAAAGACAGAGAGAGAAAAGAGGAGCGTGAGAGAGGGAGAGAGGGAGCGAGAGAGAGGGGAAAAAAGGTGCGTTCTGAAACGAGCGCTGGCCCTCGCCCAAGACGGCGTCTCTCTGGTTAATGAGGGGTTAGAAGCTGGATTATTGCTCCCAGATGCGGCCGCGTTCGATCGGCCCTTTGAAGAGAACCCAAGTCAC